TACCCTAAAGTGTAAGATAATATACTTTGTGTTACACATGTATTTATGTGTAATATATATACTTAACGCCACTTTACTCTTGGGGATACAATTTAGGGTCAACACGAGTGTGTCCTGCCCTGGACAATGAGCCCACGGTTCTGGGATAACTGTTCACATCCTGCTTTTCTCACATATTCTAACCTGATGATAAATAAGGTCAGCACAGGGCTCAGGTGCTGAAATGGGATGACAACAGCTTCTGACTTAGCCCCTCTCCCCAAGACGAAAGTGTTTAAGCCACACATTGAAATGAACCCTTTTATAAACAGTCTAGAAAATCCTTGTACATCTTATCTCTTTCTTCTTTGCCCCCATTACTCTTAAAAATACAAGTAGATCCCTTACAGGCTTTGAAAGAAATGCCATAGGTCTTAAAGGGGAACTATTTCAAGAGCTCGAGTCCATTTAATTTCTACTATTCATTAGAATCCGTGTTCACGGTTCTTTTTTCTTGCTGGTCGCTTGTTTTTAACGAACAGAGAAGGTGCAACTCCCAAAGACAACTGACAGATTTCTTAACCAAGGCTGAGGTCCAATTTTGGTTTCTGTTCTGTCATCCTCGTTGCTTCACGCGTGCATTTATTTCTCATATTCTGTGATATTCTCTCTCCCTAAACACTGAAGTGGAACTGGGTGCTCTCGGGTCTTCCCAAATTACTCTTCAACAAAAGAATAAAGCATCCACCCACACATTTAAGTCACTGGGCAATCTTCCCGCCAATTTTATGTAAGCTATGCCTTTATATGGAGACCCTTGCTGCACACTGCCTTGTGCAAGGTAGCTGGTTATCCTTCCGTGAGTGGAGGTACACATTTTTAAGTGAATGTTCTCCCCAGTACCATCAGGCTTTGGTGTGCAGTTGCTACCTTCTCTTCTACTAGGCGAGACCCACACGGACTCAGTGCTCGTACGGCCCCCCTTTCCTGCCCTTGAATCCGTTTGAAGTGAAGATGAAAGAGGGCGAAAAGGAGAATTTCCTAGCTGAGTAAATACTTCAGTTCCACTTCAGTGTTTAAAAGACATAGCAATTGATCCCACATTAGAGCAACCCAGGACAACTCGATATTTAAATTAAAAATGCAATAATCAAGAGGTAATTTAATATGCAATTTCATACATTAATAATTAGCAACGCATTACTGAACTACAAGGTAAAAAGCTATGGGAACACATAATGAACCACCCATGCCAAAGTCAGCTTCATCATAAAGCAAGGTATAAATCTTTTATTAAATGGCTACAAATGAACCATTTTGTTAACATCTAATAAGTAACTACTAAGCTACTTAATTCACATCTATAAATGAGGAGGTAGCAACCAATTAACTTCACAATTGCAGAAGGTCAGGGCTCCTGGATGAGCGTTTTCTGCCACACCTGCAGAGCCCTCAGTGAGTGCTGTCTTCTGGACGCACCTGTTACCAGGCACCCAAGAGCTGCACTATCATAGAAACAAAGGTGCCCTACAGGTTGTCAGATGCCCTGGGAGTGAACTGCACATAGTCTGAAGTCGTGAGTGCAAAGGAAAGGCATTTTGAAGATATTCTCAGCAGGTAGATATTACAGGCAAGACTGTTGTTTCTAGGAGGGGATGAAGGAAGGGCAGGCTTATAAACTGCTGGCTTGGATCCTGATGTGAGCCTAGCAGATGTGACGCTCACATGAGATGACAGACCAGAACTACGGGACTGGCTCGAGTAGAAATGTGCCGTCCACAAGAACACTGACTGTGAAATTCATTAAATGAAGGAAATAAACATTTTCGTGGAATCAAGAAATTGCTGCTGAGAATGTTTTTGAATTAATCAACGTGAAAGCGACCCAAGACAAAGCAGACAAGGTAGAAAATCTTTTGTCTCCTCTACCAATTAATATACACTGTCAGCCTACCATTAGCTGAGATTTCCCTTGGTTATTACATGCCATTTGTAAGCAGCCATTACCAATAGATGCCCAAAGGAGAAAGGCAGGGTTGACTGAGAAGTAGATGAGAGATTCTTATCTCTGCATAGCTGAACTCCAACTTCATAGCTTATCACTTTAAATGGCACTTGCCGAACAGTGAGAGCTAGTTAAATCACTGTCAGTATACACAGACATGATAGCAGAGGTAAAACTACCCAGTAGATTAAAGACTAGTTAGAGGCAGCCACAGGTCTGGATAAGTTGGTAATATAGCTGAAACGGAGCCTGAGAATCATACTCAATAGGGGGCCGTAACTAAAAAAGGATGAAAAATCAATGATAAGTAAGCCTGGTCCTTCACCTCAAGAGTTCCAACCAAGTGAGACTATTAAGCCACAGTAGCACAGTCAAGTGCCAGGTGAGATCTTCGCTCGGCTTCCTGGGCTGCTGGGTTGAGGAGCTGCAGCTGAAACGCCATTCCTCTTGATGAACAACGAGGAGATGGGAACCCTGGAAAGCGAGAACCTAACACGACAACACGATGGACTACGTTTTCTTAGCATCCAATACAGCAGTGATGCATTTCTCTTCCTATGTGTGCTAGTGAGATAATCCCAGGTGGTCCATTTTCTTCCTGTGTCCACTATGAGAGGTGATGCTGCAATTCCTGATGGTTCACTGAAGCCACTGTTCTGCAACGGAAGGAAGCCTCAGGATAGAGGTCTCCATGGGGAGTAATCTGCTGCTGTTTTACATCCGGATACTGGGGCTTCCTCAAACAGCTACTTCCTATCCTAACTGCCTAACAGCTACTTCCTATCCTAACTGCCTGGCAAGCAGACTTTGGTAGTGCCATCTGAGAACTCACAAGCACATACTTCAACTGTCTCCAAAGTTATTTGAAGTCTCTTCACTATTAGACGTGGCTTCAAGGATTACTGTCCCTCCAAGTGCCACCAGTTTGCAGGGTTTTGTGCGAGATGACATCCCTAAATTTAAACACGTTTCTGATGACTTCCCTTGACAGATTTCATAAGTATTTGTCAAAACAATTTTTGTCAACCACAATGAAATTATCCATATTCAATTTGGTGACTCAACTGGAAAATTACTTTTTGCCTAATAAAAATTTTCCAAATGACAATAGTAAATCAGTGTTGATTAGTGGTTCAGTGTGTGCTAATTAATTACACTGGGTGAATTTGGCTCTGTGCTAATCGCCTCCAGCAAAAGAGAAATCTGTATACATGACTGTCTGCAGCAAAGAGGAATTTGCTGTTTGTCTACTTTTCCTGCACTTTCTCTTTCTAATTTCTCCCAGAAGAGTGTTCAATAATACAAAACAAACAATAAAACCCAACTACTCTTAGCTGACACCATAGATAAAAAGATAAGAGTTTTTTGAAACCTTCTTCTTAGGTCAAGAGTAAAAGAAAAGACAAAGATTTTTATTGTTGACGGCTAACTGTGAGGAGGTCTTATGAGCTCATTCTCCAGCAAGGATTAGTTTAGCGCAGGCATTTTACGCCAAAAAATAGCAACTTATACATCAGGGGACTTGTATCCTCCATCAGGAGCTGATTTAAATGCTGACACTAGCCAAGAGCTCTCTAAGAGCATTTGGGGGCACATTGTACTAGGGGTGGGGTGTTTTCTAGTTTTTGGCTTTTATATGATGACTCTCTCTCTCTGAGGCGGGGGAAGCTTAAAGGAGGGAAGACAAAAATACTAATCGGATTGTTAAAGGATTGGCTAAGTTGGCTAAAAAGTCACTAACAGGAAACCAGAGGCCAGAGACCAGAGACCAGAGAGGCAGGACACCACTCTGCTTGTGCTGTCCCTCATATACAGGAGACGCCACTGAAGCTTTGTCCAAAGAGAGACGGGGGTACTTCTGGGATCATTTAATAACCAACTGGATTACTCAAAATGGTTTGTACTGATTTGTGATGCTGTACGAGCAGATTGTCACCTGTAGGCCAGCTGGGGCAAGAGTCATCTTTTAAGAACCTCACTGAAACACCAGAGAAAGCATTAAATTGGCGAAGCGTCCAGAAGACAAGACTTAGAGAAGCCCACGGCCATCATATAGCAACGGGCAAATTATTTTGTGCAATTACAGGTGACGAGTTGAGTGATTATAACCAGAGGATGGAAATTTCAAGGATGGAGATTGTAGTACATGGTAAGAAAGAATGTCTAATGTCTTAGGAAAAAGCATAGAAAGAACTTGAGGGAAGAGATCTCATCTCCCTATTGTAGCAGGAAACAGTCATCCTTAACCGGTGGTTAAGACTTTGCTGGAGTGGGACACATTAGGATGTTAGAGCCAAACTCTGGCCCTGCCTATGAAGACGAAAGGGAACGTAAGGGCTTCTGGAATCAACGACAGGCTAAACACGTTTCATGGAATCAAACTAGATGGGGCGGATCATCACCTTTGACATCTTCACCTTTTCCTTCACATGCGTGATCATTTGTAAATAAGAAAAAAATGATAGCAAAGTTCCACGTAAGCCATGTTTTCTCTTCTCTTACAAGCTGTGAAATGTGTGGATGGGGCCCAGCCATTAAGCAACCACCTGTAACCTGGGACTGATCTTAGAGAGGAAAACCGAGTTTATTATAAGCATGCAATTTCTATCAGTGAGAAAAAGGTTGAACGAGTTTATCTTTAAATTGCAGATGTCACGGGCCTCCCTGGAGGTGCAGGGGTGAAGTCTCAGCACTATGAAGCTATCAGCAGCCACTGCAGCACGAGTTCCATCCCCGACCACTAAGTGACCCAACGGGCGCAACAGACCTCTCCTGTCTCCCCGCTGCTGTCTCCGCCTGCTCTGCTCCCCGCTCTGTCTCCTCTCACCGCCCGCCCATCCCAACCCCCAGCACCTCTGGCCAATACCCTCATTCATCTGTGCCAAAAAATTTAAAGTAAATAAATAAGTTGCAGATGTTGGAACAACACGGCCTGTCAAGTACTCCAGCGTATGCTTTCTCCATGCATGCATAGTCCTGATGATCTCAGGGACTCTGTTTTCCCCGGAGGACTTGCCTGCTTTCCAGTGGTACATTACTGCCAAGGACCCAGCTGTCCTGCAGCTGGACGGACTCGGGTGTGGTTTGCAGCTCGGCGGGCAAAGCAGCCGGCGGGGCCGGACTCTGGCTCCTTCTGTGGGTCAGGGAGTTTCTGTTGAGGGAAGTGATGGATGGATGGTGCTGTGCGGACTGCTGTTTATGGGAAGGCGGCAGCGGCTGCAGGGCGGACTGGCCTGGATTGTTCACAGGTTGCTCTGAAAAAAGAAAAAAACCGCTCATGACACACTTACACGCGTGGTCCTACCTCGGTCTGTGCACACCACCCATTTGTTGGTGCACCGGTAGGAAAGAATCAGAATTACAAACAGCCTATACATCCAGAGCCTCAGCAATTTGCACATTATTCCACTACCCAGGTATTCGTGACATTCTCTAAGAGCAAGTTTACCCTTGATACACAAAGTTCTAATTAATATACAACAGATGGCAAAATTGCTTTTGGTTTTAATTTGCTTCAGATTTTTTTTATCTGGTTTTATTAACACCTACAGAAAACAGGCTCTGACAGCTCCTCTAATGTGCCTGCAGATTTCAGCTTTTTTTTAACAAACCAACCCTGAAATTAAATGGGTAATTTCGGTCAAACACAAAGGTTTTCGAAATGCATATAATCCCTATAATTATTTAATGGAGTTTTTTTAAGCCTTATTTAACTGCAATAAATTATTACAAGCTAGTTGCTAAACAGCAGTCGACTCCTCTAGTTTAGTGCATTTCAAATAAGGCATATCTGCTCTATGATCTGCTAATAGACGCTAAGTATTCTTTAGCAGAAGGTCACTCTGTGAAGCAGATGTTGTTTCATGGATATTTAACAGACTGAAGCACATCTGATTACAACGTCAGAAGACTCATATACTTAATGACCGTTACATCCATTAGAACACACACAGAACAGATTTGGCAATTTCACAGCATGCAGCAGAACTACATTGTGGAGTAAGTCATAGGTGACCAGGGGCGACTCAGGCCCCAGAGTCAGTGACACAATATTTCACCCAAACCAACATCACCAACATCAGCAATCCAGCAACTTCCAATATAAACACACAGGTAGGCGGGAATGATTCCCTATTGCCATTAAGTTATAAGTTAAAATTCACAAATTGATATAACATCCGAAACCTGCTTTTCAATCTCATTATCTAATTTTGAACATATTCCGATTCACAAATACTGTATTTTAGCAAACAGACGGCTGCCTCAATTTAATGCTAAAAAGAACTATGATCAGACATACGAAAGATAGCAACTTTTGACTAGATGCAGTTCAAAGGTGATGTACTAAATCATACTATAAATATGAACACACCTATTAAAAGAGAACAGGAAACACACAAGGACCTTGCATCTATCATGTGAGTGCCAGCAAGGGCTGCTCAGTCAGTCAGAGTCTGAGGAGGTCATTCTGGTCGTATGAAATCACCCAGGAGATGCAACAGTCATCAAACTTCTTTGCAGTGTACAATAGTTACCATAGCTCCACCCAGCTTATAACAATATCAGTAATTGCTACATGTTTCTCTCGGTTGCTAATAACCATATCAGCTAATTTAACAATGCATAATTGCTTACTCCTGAAATGAGGGACAGTTAAAGACTTAAAGATAGGAAACACAGCTGCTTCCTTACACAACTTTTGTTCTTGAAGATTTCCAGTCTAGGAACTATAAAAGGCCTCACTGGTGTTCCTGAAAAGTAATGACTGCTGAAATCTCAGTTCAAAAGAAATTAGCCTTGGAGAGAACGGCAGGCTTAAAACAACACTAGAGTTTGGTGTTAGCAAGAAACAGTTCAAAAAATTCATGACCGATTTATCAGTCAGGTATCATATCATTATCTGGCTTTGTCTGCCCCAGCACCAGGGCATATGATAATACTCTGTGTCATGAAAGACCCTTTTAGTAGACTGTGATAGGTTGATAGTTGCCGTTGGGGTCCTAGACCAGGTCAGTGTCAGTGCAATGGAAACGGATAGAAAAAAGATACACTTCCCAGGGAAAAAGTACTACAACTGCATCCACAAAGAAAGAAAAGACGGGTCAGTAACTTCATGTTTTTAAACATGGCATGAGACAATGTTGTTAAACTACACAGGGTATGTAGAATAAATTCTATATTAGTATATACTGTGAAGGAAAAAAGAGCAGTAGAAGTTGGAATATCAAATTAAATTCCTAACTCAGACATGATGACCGTGAGACTCAGTTTTTTTATCTGGGATGTGGGAAATCATGGGCCCCATTTTGTTGTCAGTTTAGGGCGCTCTAAGAATTCAGTGAAATGCACTCATTTATTCATTTATCCATGTCCCTAGTCATCAATCGACCTCACAAACATTTGTCAAGCCTCTATGTAGCGGGCGAATGCCACATCAGTTCCAGGGGAAATCACTCTGAGCATTGAGGGTATCACTGAAAACGAATGGTTTTTGAGAATGGTGTTTTATCACATATTAGAATACATTTCCTTGAAGTTTCCTATCTTAAAACAAATCAAAACCTAATTGGTGGGAGAAAAAAACTTCAATTTAAGGGTTCCGAAATGTTGAGTGCCACAGTGGCTTTCTGTAGGCACACTCACTAGTGTTTACCGAGAACATAAAATGTACATGGATCACGCAAAGACCCCAACTTCCTGGTGGCCACATCCAGGTGAGTTCAGCTTAATGTCTTCTATCTGCTGGGGCTCTCTTGGACTTGCTGACACCATCAGGGATCTTAAAAACAAATCAAATCTGGATAGTGCAAGTTGAGTATCAAAGAGTAAGTGCAGATTTTGTGTGAGATGAGACGGTGGCCAGAAATTCAAATTCTGCAGCAGCACCGACAGGAACAAAACAGGCTTTAGCTGGAGAGCCAACGTGAGTTCCAGCTACTCAGACCCACAGGACGTTAGATGTATCCGGAGTCTGTTGTGTCTACACCAACGTAGTCGAGGTAGAACAGGCACAGGAAGGCTAACGAGACAAAATAAAAAATAAACCACCAGAAAGGCACCAGAATCAAGCCAAAGATGAAAGTGGGAAAGATAAACTAAACACTGAGCCTCAAGAGTTGGAAAGTTTGCTTAGAAGTTGTTCCTAAGACTGGTACTGAAATTTCTCCTGAAGTCCTTGTAAGGAGAACAGTCAACTTTCTCCTGGTACTGAAATTTCTCCTGAAGTCCTTTTAAGGAGAACAATCAACTTTCCAGGGAAAGAGCCAGAAAACAGAGAATAAAGTGGAGATGAGGCGAGGCTTGGAGACGCGCACCTGAGAGCCACACAGGTGGACACACAGTCGCGTGGCCGTGGGCCTGAGGCGAAGCCGACACAGGCTCAGCAGAGTGGACAGGGGGTCGTGGACATTGTGGCTGAGTTACAGGGGGGAAGACGTTACCGCTCCTGAAACGTAACTCCGGAACGTGCCGGCTGATTCCTGGAAAACTCCAGATGGCTTCCAGTGCCTCTCAGAGCTCAAAAGGGGGCCGTTGCATGTGTCACACTGATACTGTGATGGCTCCTGGTGTATTTCTGCAAACACTTCCTCCGGGAACCCTCTTCATACCTCTCTGTTCTAGCTGATTCTACCCGGAAAGACTTGCTCTCCACCTTTCTATACTGCAGTCTTTCCCTTTAGCTTGTAATCGCCTCTGAGCCCCGAGGATCACATGGATTGGATACCCACAAATACTTGCTGAATGGAGGGCTATGGGTGAAGAATGAAGACAGAGTTGGCACAGTACAGCAGGGCCTTCCCTCCTTGTCCTCCATGGATGGCAATTTGCAAACCTGCCTCATTTCCCCAGCTAAATTCTTGGATCCCGAAAGGCCGAACTCCAGCTTAAATCTCTGGATTTATACAGCACTTCCACCTGGCTTTGTCCTTCCAAGTCCCCTAAAAATGTGCTGAGTAACTGGGGACTTCTCGGGTAGAGTTCCGGGGTCTAGCAGCCAGGAGAGGGGCTACAGACGCCCCCAGAGACTGGATTTCAGGAATCACTTTTGGAATCCGAGCAAATGTGCTGGTATTTCAAATCTACTTCTTGAGGTTTGTAAATAATGGATATAAAATACACAGGAGTAGACAGAATATAAACACACAGGATAGCAAGCAATGTGTAAAACGCAGCTGCAGCTCACCGTACCCAGTATGTTCCGTTGTGTCTTAAAGCTCACTGTTAGAAATGCTGTGAACTAGCCGTTTTAGAAAAGGTGCCGGCAGTTCTGTAAAACAGTTCATGGCACTGTGTTTGTCCTACCCATGCCTTTACTCAGCTCACTCTTTCTTT